AATAAGCCGAGCCATAAAAATTTCGGCTCAAGCTAAAGTGAGCCGAGCCGAGCCATGATTTTCATGGCTCGAGCTAAGCCAGGCTCGAGCTTTATCTTCAGAAAAATGTTTCGCAACATTTTTTCTAAAATAATATTGTGAAAAAAACGTTTTCGCAACATTTTTTTCTAATATAATATTGTGAAAAAAACGTTTTCGCAACATTTTTTTACTAAAGAATTTAAAAAAACATTGCGAAAATGTTTTTTTCTAAAATAATATAGTGAAAAAAACGTTTTCGCAACGTTTTTACTAAAGAATTAAAAAAATGTTGCAAAACGTTTTTTTCCAATATAATATAGTGAAAAAAATGTTTTCGCAACGTTTTTTTATTAAAGAACTTAAAAAAACGTTGCAAAACGTTTTTTTCCAATATAATATAGTGAAAAAACGTTTTCAGAACGTTTTTTTATTAAAGAATTTAGAAAAATGTTGCAAAACGTTTTTTTCTAATATTAGATAATGAAAAAAACGTTTTCGCAACATTTTTTTACTAAAGAATTTAAAAAACCGTTGCGAAACGTTTTTTTTTAAAATAATATAGTGAAAAAAACGTTTTCGCAACGTTTTTTACTAAAGAATTAAAAAAACGTTGCGAAACGTTTTTTTTAATATAATATTATATAAAAAACGTTTTCGCAACATTTTTTGTATGATAACTCAAGCCAGCTCGAGCTTTTTGAGCCGAGTTTATTACTGGCTTGAGCTTTTTGAGCCGAGCCTATCACTGGCTCGAGCTCATTTCAAGCTGGCTCGCGAGCCACTGAGCCAATTTAATCGTAGCTTAGCTCGGGCCAGCTCGTGAGCCAGCTCGGCTCATGCGAAGCTTTAGTTGCGGTATTGTGATTCACTTTTTTATATGATTTTAATATAAAAATGTTGAATTGCAATATTTTGAGAAAAAACATTATGAAAATATTTTTTTCATAATATTATATTAAAAAAATGTTTTGTAACATTTTTTTTTGATATTTCAATAATAACGTTGTGAATAAAGCTCCTAATGGTTCAGGCTAAACCGGAGAACTGATCTGAAACTGGCTCAAAATTCAGTTTGGTTCGGTTCGGGTATTAGAACTGAAAAACCAGCGGTTTAGTTTGGTTTAATCCAATTTTTTATAAAAATGTGAAAAATTGAATAGCCGTTCATCTAGTGATCGTATAAAGTCGATCTATATATCATTGATCATGTCTCTAGCATCAATAGATCACACGTTAATCCACACTAAATGATTTATCAATAATTGGAATTATTAAGCTATCTATCAATGCTAAAGACATGATCTTAGCGTCATTCGATGCATCTCAATGAGACGAATCCAATGAATATAAATTCGTCTGTGTCTGACCACCGGATGGCGAATAATGTCAAGTTTCGCATTTTTTTAAAATTTTCAAGCGTTAAAATTAAAAATTCTGATACATGAATTTATTCATCGTCCAATGGTCATATAAATATGAATTAGGACTCATTGGATTCGTCTCGATGAGATGAGTCGAATGGTGGTGAGATCATGTCTCTAGTATTAATAGATCGTAAGTTAATTCACACTAAATAATTTATAAAAAATTGGCATTATCAAGCTATTTATCGATGCTAGAGACGTGATCTTACCACCATTTGACTCATCTCATCGAGACGAATCCAATGAGTCCTAATTCATATTTGTACGACCATTGGACGATGAATAAATTCATGTATCGGAATTTTTAATTTTTTAACGCTTGAAAATTTTAAAAAAATGCAAAACTTGATATTATTCGCCATCTAGTGGTCGTACATGGACGAATTTATATTCATTGGATTCGTCTTACTGAGACACGTCGAATAACACTAAGATCATGTCTCTAGCATTGATAGATAGCTTAATAATTCCAATTATTGACAAATCATTTAGCGTGGATTAACGTGTGATCTATTGATGCTAGAGACATGATCTTACCACCATTCGACGCGTCTCGTTGAAACGAATCCAATGATATATGGCTCGACTTTTTACGATTACTAGATTGACGGCTATTCAATTTTTCGCATTTTTATAAAAATCAGATTAAACCAAACTGAACCGCCAGTTTTTCAGTTCAGTTCTTACGGATTTCAGCTTTAATTCGAACCGTCTATAATCTGGACCAAACTGATCTGTTCGGAGCTTTAGTTGCGAAAACATTTTTTTCATAATATTATATTAAAAAAAACATTTTGCAATATTTTTTTTCAATATTTTAATAAAAAACGGTGCAAAAACATTTTTTTTATAATATTATATTAAAAAAAAAAGTTTTGTACCATTTTTTTTCAATACTTTAATAAAAATAGTTCTGAAATTTTTCAGGTTTCAGGTCAGGTCAGGTCAAATAGACAACCTGATATAACCTGACCTGACTTGACCTGAAAAAAAATTTCAGGTCAGATTTATCAATTAACCTGACTTGACCTGACTTATTCAGAACTCTATGAAGAATCTCTTTCAACTAGGCTTTTTAAATTCATATCCATCAAGTATTCAAAATCCATCACAAATATTTTAGGATTGTTTTGCGAAAAGTTTAACACAAAATCCAAAAGGTCCTGATAGAATACGACGAATTTTATCCATTATTGGCTTATTGCACATTAATTTTCTTATCAGGAATTACAAAATAGACTTGGAGTAAATATAATAATATGAACTATATTCTTATATATCTTTATGAAATATTCTAAATAAATTTGATGATATTAATTTAGGTTTCATCTACAACTATTAATGCGGCAAGAAAATATGCTACACTTAATGGTTTAGGATACCGACAAATAAAAAAACCTATAATTATACGTATCTCACCTTTTACTAAAGAAATAGAAGACCAATTTAAAGCTTTTTTTTCAGACAAAGCAAATGTTAATATGAGTTCGTATAAGGTTGATCCAAGAACTAATCGTCCGATTCTTTACCTGCTTGATCAAAAAGAATCATTATGAAAAAGATTTTCAGAAATTTATCTTAATGGTATGAAAAGAATGGCATTTATAGGTCGGATTGAAGATGGTCCATATAGGTATCGTGAAGACTTGGGAGGGTTGTGTTCAATTTGTGCAGAATACGAATATGAAGTATTTGATGATTTAGCTAAAATTATAAGATTGCATGTTGAAAATCTTTCAGTTCAAGTATGTAATTTACATAATTTCTGTACTTTATTCATAAATTATTTTTTACATTTTTTTTTTTTTTTTTTTTTTTTAAAAAAAAAAAAATATAGAATAAATTATTACAAGATGTAGAAC